AACCACATGCTCTGACCACAATGAACACTGCCATAGACAGAGTCACTCCCGTATCCATACCTTCTTCTCCAAGACAGCCCCAAGCTTTCCCAAAAATGTGAGTTAAAATAAACTTTTGCTCTTTTATGGCATTCTATCAGGTATTTTGTCCTCTCTGGAGCTAATTCAATCTCAGGCAGGCTACTGAGGTCACATCGATGGTGTTTAACAAATCTAAGATTTCATTGTTAATATAAGAATACAATCTAAGGGAGAGGTAAAATTGCCTCAACAAAGAATATCACACACACACACACACACACACACACACACACACACACACAAATTCAGGGCTGATTTTTCATTGATCTAATTAGTTATAATACCTTCCTCTCCTTTAAAGGCAGTACCTGGCAATGATGGTGATGGATGCTCTGATTGCCACCTAAACTAAGATCTACAAAAAATCACACCTAAACCAGACATAGCAGAAGTAAAGGAAAACAGTATGTCAAGGCAAAATCTAAGCAAACTTCTGAAGGGCCATGTCCACTGGTATGCAAAACAAAACAACTATTTTTTTAGAGTTCTGTAGATTTTTCTTAGACCTGCAAACACAAGACACTGGAGAGTGGATGAGTGTTGGTCTTTTCTAAGAAGCATCTGATGGACCGTATACTTGATTACTTACAGAAGGCCATGTAGTCCCTCAAGAAAATGTGACTCTGTACAACTCTTCAGGAGAACCATTTGTCCAGCACACCTTGAGTGTTCCCGATTCTGGTGCTTGTGAGATGTTAGGCTAAAAGTGGGGCAGCTGATATACAAACCACCTCTCTTGTTTCCTACAGACTTCTTTCTGGCTAGTAGTTCCTTCTTTCTATTGTATGTTTAGTGAACTCTTAACCAAGTTCTTACTGCTAAAACAAGTGCAGGTTAAACCAACTTCCTCTTGTTTGCACTTGGAGTAGAATCCAGGGTCTCATATATGCCAAATACAAGCTTTATTACCAGAATAATCCTCTAGCCCAGGTTCGGCTAATTTCCTGCCAAATTTGTTGAAAGAGGTAATATTTATCTACCATTGAACACTTGATTAAGCATAACAGTTTTTTTGGAGCATAAGGAAAGGACTGGATGAGTCATGAAGAAAGCAAGGAGGCTTGGAACTCTTCATATTGGCTTAGGAAGTGAGCAATGTCAGGATGTCAATTGTGTATGTAAGTTTACTTATGAAAATTCTTCTTGTGAGGTCTTCTACTCATTTATGGCTTGATAAAGGAATGAACAAGCAATATGGCAACAAGAATTTGATATCCACAATAATATAAGGCCTTGGAATTGTGTCTTTGCCACTCTTACCCAAAATTTGGGTAAATAAAGAGAGCTATGACAATCTCCCCACATTCCTAAGATCTTAGATGTCAGGCAAAACACTTCAAATGCTTAATAATTACAACTAAATTATTTAGGTTGAGAGTCAAAGACTGTATCATGATTTCAAGTCACAGTTTTGTTTTAAGGCTTGTTTCAAAACATGTTTATTCCAACATAAAGGAACAATTTGTGCATTACTGGACTTTGTATTTGCTTATGTAGGACTTCATCTGAGACAAATATAGATACACGAAATTGTTATGAAAAGCTGGTGTGGAAATATGCAAAATATACACACATGCACTCATAAGAATACAAAGTTACCTTGGCTCTTGTTTATGGAATGAGCTGTACACATTATCTGTCATTATAATATCCCATCCAACTCAATTATCATGCCTCATCATTTGACAATAACTCTCAATCTATCATCTAAGTATATCTCAATCATCTAGAATGTAGAAGATTGTATGATCATCTTTATTACTTTCCATTATTCTTGTTTGCTTTTTATGTTGTTGATAATATTTCTGAAAATTGTAATCCCAATTTTCCAAAAAATCTGCAGATGTTTTTGCTTCACTTTATGGTATGACTATTTTAGAAAGAAATATGTCACCTCATCATAAACTTACTATAGCAAGAGTTTTAAATATTTATTAAATGGGCAATGTTACTGCTATTCTACATAAATAGCTATATAATTTAATTTTTTTCCTAAGATGACTCTATCTGTATAGTCCCCCTACTTTATAACAGGAGCAGTTATGACTAAGAGGGGTGAAATGCTCATTCTCAATCACAAAGCTAAACAACAGTTGGAATTCAAAATAATATTGTAGATCCTGCTCTAAACAGCCTTAATCAAGGTTAGCCAAGGTCATGCTTTGCTAAATACAGAAACTTCTGAAAGTCCAGCACCCCTTACCTTGCAAGTAGACAGACTTGAGATCACTCCCAAATCCCACGACTTAGTAGAAGAATGTCACTAAACACGTTGCTTAATTGTTTTAAATTTTAGTTCCTACTCTGATGAAACAGCCATAATGAAGTACCCAATGATCACTGAGTACTTAGTCTATGAACAGGTGACATACTCTTACAAGTGGCAAAGCTTGAGTTTAGAGAAGTAAAACTAAACAGTTAAAATCACAACAACAACAACAAAACAGCCCTAAAACAAGATCATGGTAAGGCACCTGTCCTTACCATGGATGGAGCTAAACCTCAGTCTGTTAAGCTGAAAACACTTTTCCTGTTAATCAGTTTGCCCCAGTGTCCAATAAAACTGTCCTTCTTCCTGTCTTGGAGGACTGGAAGATAATGTAGGTAAATTATTTAGCACTGTGCCTTGTCTTAATGAATGGTGCTTATTGCTGCTATTACAAACATTACAAACATTGGGAATTAGTCAAGATTATAACTATAATGTATGGTTATCCTCTTAATCTCTGTCTGCAGTATATGTAGGGACTACCAAAGACACTAATACACTAGCAGGATTTGTGATATGCATTAGAATCAAGGGAAAGAAAGGGGAGAAGCTTCACACTGCTAGGTGAGGAATCCTCACTAGGTATGGTAATACAATGAGAAGTCGGTGCCAGGCTTTGAACTGGGAGGGAACCTAAGCTGGCTGGTGTGCTGAGAAGACACATCCAACAAGTACGGTAGCAGAAAGCAGCTGAGGGTGTGGGCAGGGCAGTGTCTGAGTCATCAGATGCCACCCTGCCAGCTCTCAGGTGAGTGTGGGTTCTCCTACCAAGTACATTCCTGGGCAAGTCTTTGATCTGAGGGAGCTTCTAACCTGTGAGGTTTGCAGTGCAGCAGCACCCCCTACAGGCCTCTTAGGATTAAACTCTAGGAGTTTGGGTGAGGAAAGAACTTCAAAGTAATCCAAACAACAAAGTTGGCAGGCTTAAAGGTTCCTAGGAACCTTGAATTGTCAGCCTGGGCACCAGAGGCCGATTGATGCCAAGGACACACTCCTAGCTGCCAAGGACACAGTCCTAGCCATACTCTTGCAAGAAGACACAACCGGTGTTTGGTGCATTCTCTTCACAGGAAATACCTTGGCTTCTAAATATGGGCTTGATTTAAAGCAAACACACAGAAGCCAAAGCAAATAATGTTTGTGGGTGGGATCTCCCTGATAGCCTTCACCTTTTCTTCATGCTTCTTATAGCTAGGAGGGAACAGGGAAGTCATCTTTACAGTCTAACTTTTCCATGTAACAGAACATCCTATCCAGTGGGCCCCATGAAGTTAAACAGGCCCAGGACTGCATTGGAACCCACGGAGTGACAGCCATTACACAGATATTTTTCATATTTCTAATTTTTGTCTTAACCTGATCCATCAAAATTTACTATTTTCTTCTGAGGGGTAATTTGGGGTAGGGATAGGGTTGAAAGTAATGGAGAGGAAGAGGGTTCCTACTAAATTATAATGACAGTTTGAATGCCTCACTTGTCATCTGTCATCAATCCCAGTGGGATATGGCCAGTAAAGTTAACAGTGCCAGACAACACTTGTCCACAGACGATGTAGAATATTCTAAAGTGACCTCTTTATCCCTTGACTTCTGAGGATAAGGTAGGCTTTAATTACAGTCTTCAGTCTCCGAAGTCTGTGAACTCTTCCTGTCAGCAGTCTCTTCACTTTTTGGGCCCCACCCTGAGGATGGTATGCATATCTTAATCTGAAGATGACAGGAGGAAATTTCTGTGGTTGATCTGTGACAAAGGCAGATCACCTGGCCACCTTTCTAGGTTCACCAAGAAGTTAACCTATGGCATTAATTTTCCATACACTGTTGGGGAACATCATGGAGGCTATGGAATAGACAAAAGAGCTGAAAGGTCTGTGTCCTTGAACAACTGTACAATTAATGATGAGTCTATCAGATAAGTTAAAACAATGCTTCTGAAGCCTTGTAAGTGCTCATAAATGGGAGCACTAGGGCACTCATGTGCCCCTTGATTTGTTAAATAACTTTATATTGATTCAATACTGGTGTGCAATTTTAAAGATCCAGAAGTGTCATTCTTTCCAGAGAGATCTATGGCTTAATTTTTAGGGGGGTGGCGCTGAGGCTTTTGTCTCTTGAGAAAGTCTTGATAAGTAGCCCAAGCTAGCCTTGAAGACTTGAGAGCTTCCCTCTGCCTCATAAATGCTGGGATTACAGTCATCCACCACTAAGCCTAACTTCTCATTAGCATCTCCTAGAGAATCAGAAACACTGTTGGCTGTAGCTGTTTGTCTTTGGTGTTAACTGATTTTTAGTCTCAATACCTGGGTTGTGTGTATTTCATGCTTGCATCTGAGGCATAAAAAAACGAGAAAGAAAGGCCATGAGGTGCTTAGATAAGACGTGACAGAGCAAGGCTAGTCTCCTTATCATGTAATGGCATTCCTCTCCCTGACAAGACATTTCTCTGGAAGCAGCAGGTGTTGCCCACAATCTTTCCCATTTAGGTTATACAGAGAGATAAAAATCAAAGGACAGCACACACTTTTTAAAACATGGGTCTTCTTAAGGTTGGAATTCTTAGGTCACCAGTTGCTCAGAGTCTCCCAGGATCATCGATTGATTTGAATAATTAACAGAATTATCATCCAGGACTTGGAAGGTATGTTCTTAGATGTGGTACTGGATAGACTTGGGCCAAAGGTTTGGGTGGAAATGTGGACTCACCCAGATTCACAGTGCCAGACTCTGACAAATTCAGTTTCAACACTTCCACTGAGTCTTGGCAGGTGCTCATGCCTGATGTCATCAGCCAATGATGTAATTCAGAAAGAGTGGTATTTTGCAATAGAGATTCTAGTAACCCTTCCCATGAGTGTGGGTTGCAAGCTATCAATATTTATGTCACAGGCGGAGAGCATATAATATTTTGTAACGAAGAGAAGTTAAATGCCCTGTCTTCTGCATACATGAATTGTCTTTGTGTTCCACATCAATAGCTTTAAATTCATGGTGTTTGTCTTTTATTTTCTTAAGACATTTTTTCAATTAAATATAATGAAGGGAAATCTTATTGACGTCACCAAAATGGACATGACAAAATTAAAGGATTAGATGTGCATGGTCACAGGAAATTCTAAAAGATGGATTAATTTATAATTTCTTCCTATGAAAACATGACTACATTAAAAACTAACTTGGGTTACAGTGACAAGCTATTGTAAATCCTTTTTTTTTTTGTAAAATTAGTAGCTTGGTATGGCTGATATTACAGGGTTTGCCCCACCCTTATCATAGTCTAAAGTACTACATAATGATGTACTCATAAATGTAGATGACCTAAAAATGTAGTTTCAAAGAACTGAAAGGTAGACACAGGAAGACAAAATGGGGGAATAAAAGAAGTCGAATTTCTTGGACTGTTTGGTTTTATCACAGACACCAGAAACATAACATTGTATATGTTCAACCTACATAGTTGAAAATGTAGTTCTGAGGCAAAGGTTTTATTGATTTGTTCTTCTCAGAATCTTATTGTATATATGTTTCAGTTTTTCTCATGTACACAAATGTTGCCAGTTGTTCTCTGGCTCCATAGGCATGCCAGAGATTCTTTGCTGCAAAAGTAACCCCAGTAGTTACAAGATCATTGTATATACTAGCCCCAAAACAGATAGCTTTCATTAACTGTGCTCTAAGTTTCTGGGTTGTTTTGCTGGGTGTGTTTTATATTGTTAATAAATAGTGTGCGGTGAGTGAAGAATATTGGATGTGTATTACTGTCCCAGTTAACATTTTGATCTGGCTATCTGGAAGTCATAACAGAAATTCTGGTTTCAGGTTACCATGTGTGAAGTACTTTTGGACTGTAAACATGTGTGACCATTTATGGTTTTACTTCTCCAGGGGTAGCAGAGAAATCCTCTTTCCTTTCCTCAAGAGGTTGTTCTTGGTCAATTGAACGTAGGCTTCCAGTGTTTCCTTCCTGGACTCTCCTTGCATTTTCTACATCTTTTTGAAATGCTCAGGAAGAGGTAAACTTTCTAGGTGTGGTTGCTGGAGTCACTGGGTGGAACCGTCGCTCCCCGCCCCTTGGCATGATGCAACTTTGCACATGCTGAAAGTGCTGACCTGCAAGGCAGCTGCATTACATTCCTTCTGGAGGAAAGACAAAGCCAAGGAAATACCTTCTCTCAAGGAAAGCCCAACGTAGTGAACTTAAAGTGTGGATTGAAGGCTACATCAGTACATGTACTGGGCTGAAGACTGGTTGCTATTGTAAGAGTATTCAAGTATCACTATCTTTTAATAAATCTCACATCAAATTGTTCTCCTTATGAGAAAAAGAAATAAGCCCATAGTTCTAGATTAAATCCAGAAAGGAAAAACAGTAGCTGTTATTACTCTGTAAATTCATTTTGTATTTTCTCTAAAAATAAATTATTTTTTTACAAATTAAACATTAAAAATATATACTAAGGATAATATTCAAGGGTACTTTGGGGTTAGAGATGGGGTTGATAATGGAAGTGTTGAGGATAATCTCACTTGCAGTATAGATATAGGAGGGATGTTTTTTCTTCTCCTATAGTTCAATTTTAGAGCTATAATGGTATTGTAGAAAATTCAGTCAAAGTTCAAAGAAAGTACACGATTTGCCCAAGACTGGATCATGTGGCAGAAACACAATTCAAAAGAAAGATACTGATTCCCAAGTAAGTATGTCTGCCAATGTTCCATTTTTACCTATGTGTAAATATGTTATCAATCAATCAATCAATGAAAAATGGTAACATTCCACATGCTGTTGTTCCTCTATCTAGTTTTCACTTTCCATTTTGCGATGAATTGGAGGCTTTTAGTTGTTAGATGAATTCAAGGACTTCAGTTTAAGTGATGTTTACCAGGTGAGCCTTCCCATGGAAGGATGACATGATGAATAAAAGCATCAGGGGACAGATTAGCCCAACACAAGGTTTTATAATCCCTACAGAAACAGTAGTTTTTGCCTACTCAGGACTTTCTGTCCAGGTGACTCTCATTCCTCAAGAATTCCTTTGCTATTCCAAACACCACAAATAAAGTTTGCACAATGTTCTCACAAGCTGGGTATGATTTATGCTTGCCTTGGTTACTCCATTTTCTTTAAGTGTTCCAGTTTGAATATATTTTTTTGTTCACTAAAAGAACCACTCATTGGTTTCATTTAAAAGTTGATACCAAATTCCGTGAAATAGCACGAGGACCAAAGGTTTGGGTTCTGGTCTGTTGAAATAGGTGGCCTGAAACGTTGAAGACATGAAGAACCCAGGCATGTCATTACTTTGACTTGATGTGGGATAAACAATTCAAGTGAAAACTCACATTTGAGATGATCAGAAGCTTGGAACAAGTCCTTCTGTAGTGACAATGACCACACAATAACAAAGTCAAAGTAGGGCTGTAAACTTGGCTTCTGTGTAGCTTGTTCACATAACTTCCTTGGCCCAAAAATGGCAAGACCTAAGAACCAATGTTCAGCTTCATCCTCTTATTGCATTGTCACCCAAAACTCCATTATTTTCAAGTTAACTTGTCACATTCTGCATCATCTTAAGATCTTCATTGGGGGTCTCCATGGTTTTGACAAATGACTTTAATATGCCTTATAAGGTCTCACAATGGTCTCCCCCCAGAGCAGATGATGTAAGGTGATTTCAGATTTAGACACCTAAAACAGAGAAAATTGGTTTCCATAAGAGTGCTATCTGTATTTATCCTTATGGATTACACATGCAAATGTACTGCTGTAACAGTTGCTCTCCATGCTCTACCTAGATATCATTTGTCTATTGGTGGATGCATCACTCAGTAGCAAGAAGTAACCCACACACAGTAGCATCCTGCTCTAGGTGATTACCCAAGGCCAACAGCATTCTGCCAACAAGCTTCTAACAGAATGTAAGACCCTGATTACTACCCAACTGTGAGCATCGTGACCCTATGATTAATTGGTATAGAATATTAAAACCAAGAGCCGCCTTCTCATATAATCCCTCCCCCTCTCTTCAGCTGGACTTCTGCAGCTCAGCCTGTTGCTTGGCTGTAGATCTCTGCCTCTGCTTCCATCAGTTACTGGATGAAGGTTCTATGATGACAGAGTAGTCCCCAATCTGATTACAGGGGAAGGCCAGTTTAGGCACCCTCTCCACTATTGTTAGAACTCTTAGCTGGGGTTAAGATCATGATGGGGAAACCCACAGAGACAGTTGACTAGAACTTGTGGGAGCTCACAGACTCTAGACTGACAGCTGTAGACTGACAGCTTGGGAGCCTGTATGGAACTGAAACAGGACCTCTGCATGTGGATGACAGTTTTGTAGCATGGTCTGTTTATGGCACACCTGGTAGTGGGAGCATGATCTATCTCTGGTGCATGAGCTGTCTTTTCAAAGCCCATTCCATATGATGAGATGCTTTGCTCAGCCTTGATGTGGGATAGGGGTCTTGGTCCTGCCTCAGCTAAATGTGACAGGCTTTGTTGACTCCCCATGAGAAGCCTTACCCTTTCTGAGGAGTGGATGTGGGTTAGGAGAGGTGGGTGGGGATGGAGGAGGAACTGTGGTTGGTATGTAAAATGAATTTACACACACACACACACACACACACACCATATTTACATATACCTATGAGCCACTCTTCTTTGGGATGGGTCTAAGATGCCATTCACATTCTCTCTGTCCCTATAGAATCAGGTCCAGATGCCACTGAAGCTGAAGCCTCATCTTTGCTTGGCAACTTCAGGCTGTGTTGTCTGCTTTCCTTACCTTATTATAGGTTTTATCTTAGATACCACCCATAACCAACATATGCATAATCATCTCTATTTCAGACCCTTCTTTTAGAGAGCCTGACTTTCCATGCCAAGCTCATGAATGTGTGCAGATCTTCAATCCTCCTTTTTCTTTCCTCCTTCTAGTCCTTCTCCTCCTCTTCATACTTCTCCTCCTCCTTTTTCTGCCCTTCTACCTCCCCTTCTCCTTCTTTCTCCTCCTTGCTTTCTTCCTCCTCTTTTTCATTATTGTTCTTCATATCTTTGGCAAGTATAAAGCTAATATAACACATATTCAATTTTTTCTTATAGGCATTTATTAAGCAGAACAAACTTCTAGTTTTGATCATGGAATTTTAGTCACTTTTTTAAAAAGTGAGAATACTGAAAGTATCACAGAGGAAATATATTTGTTCTTCATGTGCCTCTCATTAATTTTAGAGTTTTTCTTAGTTGTATGGATTTAAGGAACAATGACTAGAGTGGGGGAAACTTGAAATAATATGGTACATACAGAACTAACTTAAACTTGTTTGCAGATTAAGGTTTTGAGATTGGGTTTTTAGCAGTAGACAGTATTGCTGAAGATAACTCCCCTTGCTTGCTGCCTATGGTGAAAGTGAACCATATTTGTCACATATTTAATGAACATTTCTTAACCTTTTTTTTGTTTTTTGAGATAGGATTTATTTTTGTATACCTGGCTGTCCTGGAACTCTCTGTAGACCAGGCTGGCTTAAACTCACAGAGATCCACCAGTCTCTGCCTCACAAATGCTGGGATTAAAGGTGTGCCTTTAAATTTCTTTTCACTCAACAATAGGTATGCATCATTAGACATTAAATATATAATCATTGGTAAGATTATATTTAATTTCTGCTAGCCTGCTAACCTTCCCACTTAGAACTTTGACTTAGGCAAACATAGACAACAAGAAAGGAAACTGTAAATCTGAACTATTCTATTTCATTTGAAAGTATTTTTTACCACTTGTCTGGGTTTGTGAAAAAAGGCACCAAAAATGTGACAGAGGGTCTTCTCAGACACACATCAGTAGTAGGGACTCAATTGTCAAGTGAATGCACACAACCCATTTAATGCTTGAGTTTTTTCCATACCTTTTTCTTACGTAGCAATATAAGACAGCAAGAAAAGCACTAATTAACAATCCAACGCCAATTCCGATTGCAATGTATTTTTCATAGGAATCCATGGCATATGAAGTTAAGGTCAAATGCTCACACCTTTCTCCAGTATAACCAGTAAAGCACCTTTAAAGAGAGAAAAGAATACACAACTTTAAAGCCTACAATGATGGAAGTACAAACAGGTGATGCATTTCAAAGAATGAGAGAAGAGGGAAATTTGCAGAGGCACATAGGGGCCAGTCCATTAATGAAACAGCCTGGGCTTTACCAGTCCTTTCAGTAAGGTCTCACACAATTCCTCATTGCTAGGAAGGAAAGGTAGAGTGCTTGTCAAGAAACTGAGCATATCTGTGGCCAAAATTCAGATCATGGCAGCTCCAGGGCTTCATCTTCCTGAATAGATTTTCTCTTTATGGGACTCTGCCTCGACCTACAAACCTATAAAAGTCCAGAGTCATCTTCCTATGTTGTTAGAAATGTAAACACTGATCTGATATTTATAGAACATTAAAATCAGCATTCCTAGCAAGCTCAGGTTCCATTTGAGTAATATGGATAAGTAGTTTAGAAAAAAAAAGACTCCTTCGTATCCAAATATGAAGAAGATTGGCCAGTTACATTCATATTAAACAATATTTTCCCATTCTCTCAGCATTTCATCATCTTATTCCTTTTTAATTACTTTTAAGATTATAATATAATTACATCCCCATCCCTCTCCTTTCTCTGAGCACTTCTTGTTCCTAAGAAGAACAGGGAGTTTGCTGTGAGACGGTGTCTCCTAGAAATGGCAGAAGCAACACCCATGAAGTCTCATCCACGTGACAGCTTAAATATGACCAGAGCAATAACAACATCAGTAGACAAGCTAATGTGGTCTAGGGGTGAGGTAGGACTCAGGACGTCTGACTCTGCACAAAGAGCTGTAGGTAACTAAGAAATAAGACAACAAAAGTACATCAAGGGGATACAAATTAGAAAGGAAGAAGTCAAACTTTCCCCATTTGCTGATGATAAGGCAGTATATACATGTGTTCCAAAAGTTCTACCAGGAATGCTGAGAGGGAAGCACATACCAATTGGCTACCAAACACTATTTTTACTGGATAAAACAGAACGTTTGGAGCTGTGCTATGTCCAACACTTTCTTTTGTCTCTAAGACTTGCTGAGTTCTTCTCAGTTACCTGCAAATGGCTTTCTTCAGCTCATGGTGGAATGCACACACTCCATTAATGCAGTAATTATTGTGGTCTTCGAGACAAGGGTGGGAGAACTTCAAAGCTACAGGTCCTTCTATGTAGTCAGCTAGAAAAAGGAGATGCACAATTAACAGTTAAGTGCATCCTACTTTCACAATACACATTCAATGCATGTGGAAAGAGACCTTTTATTTGAGGGATGTTTGAGGCTTTTTGTCTTTTGAAATATTTTCTTTTTCTTGGGGGGGTTCTATTCAAAAGGTTGGGTTCATGTCTCTACACACACTGTTAATTAATTGCAGGGTGGAGGCGGATTGATGATTGCCCCATTCTTTAGAAGCTAATAACAAAGCATAGAGGTAAGTTGGTCGAAAGGTGGCAGCATTGGTTCCAGCTTAGCAGGTAATTTTGAACAGTGTTTCTCAGACGTGTACCCAATGCTGATTGGAAAGAAGGCCTCATATCACTTTGCATTTCCCCTGCATGGGTAGGGTGGCACCTAGGGAGTCCTGGATGTAACTTATTTCTATAATAAAATAGATGTTTAATCCCTCACCAGAAGAAAGGATGAGAATCCTCTTTCACTCTCCTACAAACTGCCAGGAGGTGCTAATTAGACAGGGGACATTCTCACTGACTGACCAGCAAGGGACTGTTAGGACTGATATAAGAGGCCAGAATCAATGTGGGGCTCAGGTGGGCACAGCCAATGGCAACACCACTACATACTGAGTGACAGTTCTACTATGAGAAGGTGTTGTCAAGTGGTTGCAAAGCCACAGAGGTAGTATCTGAGACAGATTTTTCTTTCTTTTGTTCCAGTACTGCAAAAATGACCACAGTGTACAGTCTAGTGATCTAAAACCTCCTTATGGGATTCCCACATTTGGAAAGGCTTCTCTGAAAAATCTATTTCAGGATGCTACTGATTCTGGCATGCCAGGTGTAACATGTACTGGTTGGTGCCATTCTTGGTGCCTATGCAGTGGGAAAGACTCTTAGGGACAGCTGTGTAATTGAATCCTTGCCATTTTCAAACATTTCTTAAGCAGAATTAGTGGCATGTTATGTTGTATTGAGCGAAAGAGTACACGTCCTCACTATTAGTCACTGCTCATGCTATACTATATGTGCATTTCTACAGAGAACAGGAGGATCCTACTTAGTTGTCTTTAGGGAAAAAACAGACCTAAAACATTCCTTTTATTGTGAAAAATACTAAATGTTTATACACTAAGGTACCAACAGGACACCATATCACTTTGCTTTGAAAACACACACTACAACTTAAAATTGACATTCAATTTGCTGTCTTAGACATAATTTATCCCTTTAGGAATTGATTTGGAGACACTGAGAATTTCTCATGCAAGCCTTGCTAAGTTCCTCTTAATTCAAGACTAACCAAGTTCACTTAACCAAATTTAAAGAAGGGTTCTCTAGAAAATATGAGAATTTGAAAAACATCATTTCCAAAGCGAGGGCACTCCAGAGAGACTCATTCTTCCCTTGTGGAGAAGAATATTAGTTATAACTTTATTAAAAACATTGATAAGATATGACTCATATTTCTAAGTTGAGAGTAAAATGAGGGGCTACACCATGGTTATAGAATGTTTGCTTAGCATGCACACTGCCCTGCAGTCCAGGCCAACATTTCAACAAAACAAGAAAAAATACAATTGTTTTTGTCAGGAAGAATGGAAAGGAAAAATATAGCATAGTTTCTCCATTCCTTCCTTGTTTCTGTTGTTATCTAATATTTCATTTGCAGTTCCTTCAGATTATGAGAGAGAGAAAAGGGTGGGGTGAGGGGTGCTGGAACCACATCTATGCCATCTCCCACTAAGATGAAACCATGCCTTTAAATTTTCTACACATTGTTTTACAAATTGATGTTCAAAAATCAAATGGATAACTTAGGTGTTTAAAATCATTAGGAAAATGAGAAACAGATATTACTATCTTTAATCTTTAAAAAATGAACTATTTGGCTTCATTTTTTTATTGGCTGTACCCTGAAATTAAGATAAGGAGTTTCCTATGTCCTGACCGCAAACCATAGTGGACATTATGAGATCTGTGAGCGAGTCAAAGCCATTCAGACACAGGTCTTGACAGGCAAGGAGCTTTCCAAGTTCATCTGTAGTTCAAATAGGTTTGGAAGCTGTGCCACAATGCCGTGGTTAGCACATCCAGAAGCCTCTATGGTATGCACAGTCAGATAGAAAGAAAATATATGACCCCCATCAACAACAAAAACTGTGTGGAAGAGGTTAGAAAATGCAGCATATGCTAAAAGGACAATAAGCAACAAGAGAAGACCTTTCCAAAGATCAGGAAAAGCACTGCTTCTTGGAGCTATAATTCCCGTGGCTGCTAAGCTTACTGTCAGAGATCACACTACAGTGACCCTCCTCAAGAATGTCAAAGTCATATGCAATTACACTGGATACCCCGGGTCACCGGGAGTGGAGCAGAATCCAAGCAGAGCCTGTGGCATGTCTCACATTCGGGAAAGTAGCTGAAGACAGATGGCTTTTCTCACCCTTGTTTCACTTCCTCCTTTAACAAAACAAAAAAAGCAACCCTTGGCTGGCACATCTACCTGTCACTTCAGCTTAACATCATCTTTCTGAAATAGCTGATTATCTTATAAAATATGGTTACAAATTTTCCAATGTTGTCTTTATCACAATTCAACTTTCTGTCAACGGTTTCAAAGATGGCACTTGAATTAGAATGGCAAGGAGATACCTTCTGTGTCGTTAACTGTCCCGTTGCTCTGCTGCTCCAGGCTAGGAGGTATCACGTGCACCTCGGCTTCTTCTGTCAGCGCGGTGGCCATTGCTGTGGTGGGGGAAAAGCATCTTTCACAGGTGAGTTTTTTGTGCCCCAACAACAGATCTAAAGTGGGTCTTAGTCTGGGGACTCACCCCCCCTTTTTTTTTTTATTTTACTCGTTATGTTTGATGGGATCCAGAACCTAACAAGGGCAATTCCAGACTACTTTTTAGCTGTCTCATTGACAGTATTATGGTTACAGAACACTGAAATACACCCATTCTTAAGAGAAAGTTCTGTATTTGCATGCTAAGTCAATCACACACACACAGCTTACAGTGGCACAGTAGCTGCTCTCATGTGCACTTCAATTCCTTAAAGCCATCATGTCAGCCTTCTTAGAAAAAAGTCAAGAGAGAAGAAAAAGCATCTATTCCATAAAGACCGGATTAATCCACACATTCTTTGATCCTTGTCGGGGGCAACTTCGACTTCAAAGAACTAAATCTTTACATTTCACAGTCATACAGAGTTAACAAATCAGAAAGGAAATAGCCTACCTTTGAACAGGAGGCAGACTGCCATTGCAACCCCCAGAGCCATATCCTGTAGCTGCTGAACTTCTTTCACTGGTCCTCCTAGACAGAAGGGTGGAGGGTTTTTAATTGTGCTCTCCGAGTCTTTCCTCCATTTATATTTCATGAAGCGTCATTTGGCAGTTCTTACCAATCCAAAAACTATGTGCTCCTGGCAGCAGCCTGAAGCCTGCAGGCACTCGCACACTTGTTTAGGATACCTGCGTTATCTAGAGATGTGATCAAATTTCCTCTTGAAACACTGGTTTCCTGTCACCTGTGGGCATAATCGCGCGTACAAAAGTTCTTAAAAACAACAAAAGTGAACGCAAATGCAGAAAAGTCCCTGCTCCTATGAACTGAACCACGGCTTCCTAGTAGGTTAACAAGGACCACAGCCAAGATACCTGCAAACCATTAAGTGGATAACCTGTTAGGATCAGTGAAAGTCCCTGATTCGACAGTCAGTTCCATTCCCTTTCATTATAGCTGCTGGGGAAAAAAAATGTACTAAGCATATTTAAAACTTATTTTGTTAATATGGCTATAAAGAAGAATTTGTATAAAAAGTATATGTAGTATTCCATTTTTGTTTTTGTTCCTTAGCTGTACTCACAGTAAGTTTTGTTAAATAAAATTACTTCCAATACTATAACACTAACTTTTATGTCATTCTGGTATTTAATGCTTTATGAAGAAATGGGATGGACTACTAAGTTCCAGGAACAACAATGTTTAAGTCTGGCCTCATAATAGGCTGCCCAGAATCAATGCATTAATAATATTGAAACTATAAATGGTGGTAATAGTCATAATAGACCCTTCATTGAGGTAGCCTCTAATCTGGGTAGATCTAATGAATAGCTAGTTTGAATTTCATACAGCACTCAAGGTTTTCTCACTGTTCACCCATCAGTGATTAAAATGAGATTATAAAAACCCAAATATGTAATTTTGCCTGTGCCTTTTTGTTTAAGCTATAGGGGCTACTTGTAAATTTTCACCTTCCCCAAATTACATTGAATATTTATGATATGGTTTGCTGAAGTGGTGTACCTTTCTACTTGGGATTTCATTTGCGTATATTTTCTGAACCTTAAAGACTTGTTCAAGGTTGGTTATCATGTGAATCATGTCCACCAAGCAAATTATATTTATCAGAAAGGATTCCTTTCTATATTCAAATAAGAATTTGGCTTTAGAAATCACACAAGCATGAGCTTGTTGTACTCATTACAGCTTGGGCAATCATTTACCACAAGAGTCATCACTTTAAAGGTAAAAGAATATGTACCACTTGGCTTACTTTAAATATGTCCATACACTGGAGCTCTGGTTTTAGGATCTTAAAGAACTATTTAGTATCTCAATTTCTGGGCATAATTTTTCACAAGAAAAGAATAGTTGAATTATAAATAATCTTCTTTAGCCACTTGTGGATAATTTAAGACATAATTTACTAAGGATTAAAATATTATCAAAAGTCTTTCAAAAGTTTCTGAAAAAAATGTTAGTATCTCCCCCGCCATATGTGTGCCTGTGTGTGTCACACAGAGAGACAGAAAGAGATCATCAAACCCAGAGCTTCATCACAGCATCACATACTAAGCAAGTTCTCAACCAGTGCCAAATACACCTGGCCCAAATATCCTCATTCTTAAGACTGAGCTATAGATGTATGATGGTTGTCTTTGTAATAACAGTTACCTCGAGGGGTTCAGGAGATAGCTCAGTTGGTAAAGTGCTTGCCATGAAATTGCGAGGACCTGAGGCTTAGCTCCCCAGCACCCATGTAACATCAGAGGTTGTGGAACACACCTCAGTGCTGGGGAGGAAGAAGCAGGAAGATTCTCTGGGCTTGCTGCAAGTCAGTCTACTTGAATCATTCCATAAATTCCAGGTCCAGGGAGATACCGTGTTGATGCTGGTTGTATTTGTCAATGACACAAAATTTGACACATCTGGAAAGAGAGAATCTCAACTAAGAATTGCCTCCATCAAACTGCCTTGTGGACACGTCTGTGGAGCATTTTGTTACTTAATGTTGGATATGGGAGGGTTCTGCTTATTATGGATGGTGCTACTCCCGAGAAGATGGTCCTGGATTGTACAGAAAAGCAAGCAGAATAAGCCATTGGGAGCAAGACAGTAACCGGTATTCTTCCATGGTTTCTGATTTAGTTTGTGACTCAAATCCTCAATTTTCTCCCCTGATTTCCCTCAGTGAAGGACTATGATCTATGACACGTAAGCAAATAAACTCTTTCCTCCCCAGGTTGCCTTTTGTCATGGTGTTTATCACAGCAAAATAAGACTAACTAGACTTAAAAAAAAAACAAAACTTCAGATAACAACAATGAATGGAGGTTCAAATGACTTGATTAAGGCTGAGAGTGGAGCTGAGAGATTGAGGGTGTAATTACACAAGTAAGGACTGGGATTCAGTCCCTAATACACACAAACAAAGAAGAGAGTAGAGAAAGGGAGAGGTAAGGAGGAAGGGGAGGAGAGAAAAGAAAAATACTCAAGTCACATGCCAAAGAACATACATCAGATAGGGCTTCAATGTCATTGTCAAATCCCTCCTCAGAAGTCCTCCCCACTGTTCCAGCTGTGTCCTATGGCAAAAGTGGCTGTACTGATCACAGAAGTCCCTTAACCCCAATAGTCAAATTTTAAATGAATTTCCTTTTATTATAAGAAACTAAATATAAAGGAACCAAAGTTTTCTTTCATATCCATAAAGTCAGGCTTTTCTTTGGGCACCCAGCTCACAAAAAATAACATAGAGATTTATTAATTGTGAAAGCTTGGCCTTAGTTTAGGATTGTCCCACTAGCTCTTATAATATAAGTTAAGCCATATTTTTAAATCTATGTTCCTTTACATGGCTCAGTTACCTTCATCTTGTCCTTCCCGTCCTACTTCCTCAACTTCTGGCTGGTGACTCTACCTTTGTTCTCTCCAGAACTGTCTCTGTCCAGAAATCATGTCTACACCTCCTGCCTACTTATTGGTCATTCAGATCTTCACTAAACCAATGATAGTGACACATCTTCACACAGTGTAAAGGAATATTCCACAACATGTCAGAGATTAGAGATTGGTGACCAACCCCCCAAAAGTTTCGATTGTAGAGTAGGCCACACTGAGACACCTCTCTGCCATCTTGGCTTCCACTTTACACTAAGCAACTGCTAGAAGTCAGTCCAGCTGCTGCTTTTTGCTCTGGGGTCTGTATTGATGGCTCTGATACCACTCTCCATATGCAAGCCACTTCCATCCTCTCACCACAAAGCCCCTTTTCCAACTTTAGAGGGTAGAGAGATGTCTATTATAAGATGGACTCACTGGCATCTTCATTTACTGCTAATACACACTAAAGCCAATTGGAGCTAAGAAAGGGAAGGGGAACCCCACTGTCGCGTTGTCCTCATGCCACACTTCTTTTTAAAGCATTCTTCTCTCTCCTGTATCCATAAGGGCCTCTAAAAGTTTATTCCTCCATATCTTTCTACTTTGGTACAGTTAGGTTTTTTTGTTTGTTTGTTTGTTTTGTTGGTTTTTCACTAAATGAGCACTTACAGCTAATTGTCAGCAGGAAATATTTATGATGTTGGTTTGTCCCTTTACATTTGTCCTGTAATTCTTTGATGATTTGTTGGCATTTTTTATAAACTACCAGATGTCTACAGAAATCATGGCATGGGGCTGTGCGGAATGCTCTTTGTGAAACCAAATGTATAGGCAGTGCATGTTTTCTGACCTTCAATAACTAAAGTCAGCCAGGGAGTATACATGTGTATCCTGGTAGGAAGTGACAGCTGCCATGGATGTCAGCACAAAGATCTGTGGCAGTTGAGAAGTGGAACTCAAATTTTCATGACAAAATTTCATTTGGAATGAATCTCAGTAAGTAGGATTTTTATAGGTAGGGATATGATCTCTGCCCTTGACTGAACACTTAATAACAAAGAGGATCACTTTCCTCACATACCACAGAGATGGTTAAGAAAGAGAAAAGACAAAAAGAATTAGAAGAAATTGAAGGTGGGAGGTGAGGGGTTAGCACTCAGTAGCTGTTCAATCAATGAACAACTACAACCACTGAATGGGATAAAAGGATACAAGGTGGATAGTGGTCTCCAAGTCTAAGAATTTAGTTGCCAGTACACGTGTTTAATCCTGTATCTTCACCATCAGCCATGAAAATCCATCCCCTTCCAGGATCTGCATTACTCATGACTGTCACTTATGTGCTATGTTATTGCCTCACACTCAACATGTCTTAAATTGAACTTATTATCTCTTCTCCCAAGTCAACTCCCTTTGTAACTTCCTTATGCTAATCAATGATTATGTCTTCCGGCCCTGACTACAATCACTTCATTCTTGCTTCTCATGGTTTCTTCTTACTTCCACCACTCTTCACCTTACTCTTCATTTCATCTGACTGAATTTTGTGATCCTATTTAATGTTTCCTTGTGTTACAGTACTACTTACATCAATTCTTTATACTTCTCTGCAGACAGTATAGGAAAACTGTCACACCCCTCTTCGGTTTACAGACTCCAAATATCCCTGAATGGAATCATACCATTCAGCCAATTTTGTCTCTTATGTGTAAGAAAAGATTCAGGCCTTCACTACACACTTGGTTACACTCATCTGAGCCCTCTTGTTGACAAAACCTATACTCAGCTAACCAAGCTCAGTTTTAGCGGAGAATCTTGCTACCTCAGCTCACGGCAACCCTATCCCACACCTCACTTTGTATATCTGTGATGCAGTTCCTTTTTCCCATGCATTGATGTCGAAGTCTTTGGCCTGCTGTTACCAAGAAAATTAACATATCAGGTCAGCAAGAACTTCCCTCTCCTTGATATCTAAACACATTCCTATTTGTAATTTCTCATGCACTGATTTCCCCATCTCAGTGGCTTGACTATAAATCCCCATGTGTCTCTGCTTTGAGTACAGATAAAGTCAACCTCTCTCCTTGACACTATTGACTCTACTGCACCTCTTTTGATGGAAGTTTTCCTTTTCAATTTTTCTTTTTGGTTAGTCTCTGGGAAGACTGACCCCTAAATAAATAATATACAGAAACAATCGCTTTCATCTCACTGGGCAGGGGAATACTCATAGCTATAGTCCCTATATTTTTAACATTCATGCATCTCTGGGAATTTTGCTTTGGAACCTAGGCTCCATTAAAATTTATTTAAACCATGCCCTTTCTAAAATGTTTGCTGCAAACTGAATATCTGTCAGGGATACTTGACCACATGGTCTGGACTCACTGTAGAACACATTCTACTGTCTTTTCTTTCATGTTTGACAAACTTAATAGCATTTTTCCCAGAATGTAGCAAATGAACAGTTCACAGGGACAGCAAGACCACTCAGGGATAGAAGTGCTTGCTGCCAAGCCTAATCTCTCTCTTTCTCTCTCAACCCCCCTACACACACACACACACACACACACACACACACACACACACACACAAACACACACCACATACACCAAAATTTCAAAGTTATCTTAATAAAATAATATAGCAGTAATTCTTTTTCAAATTGCTTTTATTGGACAGTTGAAATGTTAGTTATGAACAGCTGGTCAATTTTTACACAAAGGATCAAGAGGCACACTGATAAAGACATGCATTGAACAAGGGCCATTACTAATATATAAACATACTAGGATAGGGGCATGAAACCTCAGTACCAATTATATGGATCCAGTCATTAAATAGCCTTTAATTAACAGTCACACAGATTTCCCAATTTGAATTGTATCAGAAGCATGGCAGCTGAGTTAGCAACCAAATGCTATCCTGGAAAAGAGAAGAAATGTGTGCACAAAACTAGCTTTTAGTTATATCCCAGAGTTCAATTTTAACAAAATGAAAATGAAAGCATGATAATTCTACCAGTGTTCTGTTCCTGTGAATAAATATATCATGGGATATATTTGTTCTTAAATGACAGACTCACTCATGTAGAATCACTATTGCATCTGGTTGATATTTGTGGGGAAATCACTTTAGTTTGACTTTGTACATTCATTTGTTTTGAGATTTTTCTATTTTTATTAGTGAAATAAAATGAACAATATGGAAACCTAACATTCATGGTCTTATACTGCACCAGTGAAATAGATAATGTGGGAATTAAACATGCCCTTCTACTATACCAAGTAATCTTTTCTTAGTTTTCCAAGTAGCATGGCATCTTTTTCTTGAAGAGCTTTTGTTTCTTAAATAGAATGTCAGTTTTTCAATATGATTGCCTTGTGGGACTTAAGACTTCATTTTCAACAGATAACCTAGAATATGAACTATATTTTAAAAAATCATGGTTATAACAAATTACAGTTTACATGGCACCAATTTGGCTGACAAAAGTTTTTGAAAACATACTATATGTGATACTTAGGTTATGTCAAAAATATATATCATTAAATATGAATTCTTCATTTGTTTTAACATTACGGACAAATATCCATAAAATAAGAATTGTTATCCAAATTATCATTGTAATTGCTTTGTTTTTTTCTTAAAACTCAAAATCTACTAACAAGGAATCCATAAAGTTGTGTAAATAATCAGTTCTACAATGATTCCACTCATGAAAAAATAAACACAATGTAGAAATAAATAGCTTTGTAGGAAAATAGAAAGAATTTGGCGGTTGTCAAATAAATAAGCAGCACTATTTGTTGTGTGTACTCCACTGTGTCATCTAGTAAATGATGCTCTTGGCAGCCAGAAGTGTATTCTTCAGAAGCATGGCCACCGTCATGGGTCCCACGCCTCCTGGGACTGGAGTGATGAAGCTGGCTTTCTTCTTAACAGCTGAGGAGACAGAACATTTCCTCATTTTAAATGTATATAAGAATATCATTTTATGGACAATGTATATAGTCCATTTTTCCATTATACACATAATTTTACAAACCTCCAATCATTTATAAGATGAATTAGGCTATAATGAAGACAGACAGACATATACACACATGCACACACACACACACACACACACACACACACACATTATTCTATGATTTCTACAGTTGACACAAAAAAGACATGCTTCTGCTTTATATGAACAAAAGCAATAAACTATGATCAATGTGCCATTCTTATTATAATTATAGAAAAATTATAATTGTAGAAAACAGTAGGCTAGTAGACAGGAAGCCTGGCTAACATTATTCACAAGATTATTACAGGCAATCATGAGGCCCTGAAGTGGGAACACGTTAACCTGATTAGTTTATGTGCCAGGTCAGGATGGCCTTAAGCGTATTTCAAGGTTGCCCCAAGTCTGGACATCAGAGGCTGCTGGGCTTGCTCACAGGGGAAAGGGGGGGGAGGAGAGAGAGATACAGAGATATGCAGGTTAGACATAGCAGTTCTCTGTAACTAGCCTTGAGAGAGAGAGCCTGCCAGTCTACAGGAGGATGTGACCTGATTTGGGGAGAAGGATACAGCTAGAGAATCTGGGATCTGGGATCTAATTCAAAAAGATATGAAATTGGTCACAACAGGAAGGGGGAAACAGAGACTCATCCCTCTCCTCTTTGACAGAGGCACAACTAGGTTTGAAAAATTTTGTATTTCCACAATTGCACCCCTTCTCTACATAGCTGTATTAGCATGGCAAAGTTCCAAGAGGCTGCAGGGACAGCAATGATTAGTAGGATGTTCTGAAATTAAAAAAGGAAGGAAGGAAGGAAGGAAGGAAGGAAGGAAGGAAGGAAATGGAAGTAACTGCAACATAGTGATTTTCCTACTTAGTTACTCAGCACTGGCAGTACAAGTTACATGTTACACTTCAAATCACAGCTGATTAGCAAGCAGTATTGGTCATTTTTTTCCTTGGATGTCAAATCCAATAAACTGCTGGTCTGACTGGGTCTCACCTCTTGAAAGTTTTTTTTTTTTTTTCCCCACATACTCAGAATTCATGCTCAAAAAGTAAGCTGTGTGGAAGGTTAGGAATGGGAACGGGTTGTTGCATGAAATACCTGCCAGACAACTTAGCTCAGAAGTTGCTCTTTTTGAACAGGTTGCTAGTGGCAACCTGCCCGGCCTGTCATTCTTCACAAGGATCTTCACTTGCCTTTAGGACTTCCCCAGGTGTTAACATTACTCAGTGGGCAGAAGATTAAACATTGCTGTAGACACAGTTGAACATCCCAGTGCTATTTTCAATTTTTTAGATATTTGAAACAAAGTAGATACACATGGAGGCAAGGTTTGTGCACAATAATGAGAGGGAAGCAATAATGGGTTTGATTTTAAAATACCTATTAGGTTTCTCTGTCATTTTTTTTATTTCATCTTCCTGAGAGACTGCGTCTGAGAAGAATTAAGTCTGTAGGTTGTTGAATGGCGCTGATGTAGTTTATGGCCTATTTACATAAGAAGGGAAACACATTTTCAGGTAAGGAATCATTAGCAGATGGCACTGGGTACATCATGATGTCAGTGGGTAATGGAAAAGTGCTCATATGGGGAGGCAGGGAGTACCAACAGTTCCCGGATTCAGGAGGCTGAGATGGGAGAGTAACCTGCACCCAGTAGTTCAAAGCCAATCTGGACAATAAAATAAGACCTTGTTTCTTAAATAGTAAGCATTAAATAAATAAATATTTTCTAATGATAATTTTGCATAACCATCTCAAGGCTGTCATAAGCTATATGTTTGTGGAGTACCACAGATGCTTTGAGATGAGATTAGTCATGAAAGAAGTTCCAAGTTCAGGTCATCCTTGATACTGTGAAATGAATCTTCTCTGATCATGTCTAGAAAAGAGTAAGTTAATGAGCATTGAATCACCAGAACAACTTCTCCTTGACTGTTTCCTTAAGAGTATGCAGGCTTTGCACTTGCTTGTAAAGAAGATGCTTTCAGTGTGTATGTCTGTCTGTCTCTGTGTGTGTGTGTCTGTGTGCATCTGTGTGTGTATATCTGTGTGTCTCTGTATGTGTCTCTGTGTGTCTCTATAAGTGTCTGTGTGGATCTCTCTGTGTGTTTGTGTGTGCCTCTGTATGTGCTGTGTGTATCTGTATGTGTGTCTGTGTGTATCTCTGTGTGTGTCTCTGTGTCTCTTTGTGTGTCTCTGTGTGTGTGTCTGTGTGTCTCTGTATGTGTATGTCTCTCTCTGTCTCTGTCTCTCTCTCTCTCTCTCTCTCTCTCTCTCTCTGTGTGTGTGTGTGTGTGTGTGTGTGTGTGTGTGTGTGTGTGTGTTTTGGGGGCTTCTCCATGCTTCATTGCAGAGACACACAGAGGTATTACAGGGCAATAAATCCATTCACAAATTGACTCACTGTGGCTCTAGAAGTGGGGTAATATCTGTGCATGTGTTTAAGAGAAACACCAAGTCTCTTCTGATTGAGAATTAGGTATTAAACCAATCAACAATTTCATGATTCACTAAAGAACATACTGTGAAATCTAGATTTAAATTCAATTCCATAAAAATAAGTTTGAGAGTTATTGAAGCTGACAATTAGGACAAATAAAATACCTGTTAAGTTCCAATATCTGTGTGCAGTGTGCCCTGGGGATGAGGCTTAGATAGAAATGATAATAAAGACAAATTTTTGAAAATAAGATTAATTTAGGAAAAGCAATAATTACAACAATTTTATTTGAATGACCGCTACAAAACCTCAGAGACTGGAAAGTAACTACTACAGATTTCTTTGAAATTATGAAATGATTTATACTGCCTACTCTCTTTAACATGCCCCGCCCCCTTTTCCATCTGGTGAACATTTGTTCTTCCTCCTCAGTCTAGCAGAAATGTCACTAGAGCTGGTTAGCTCCCAGAGCCGAGTTAACCATTTACTCATTGCTCCATGGAATTTGCAGAATAGTGTTTGTTCAAAGTAAAGTCCTGAGTGCAATAGGATATCCTGTCTAAGGAAGTCAAACTACAGCTGCTCTTTCCCCAACCTCCAGATTCTAATGTAAATCACTGGGAATCATAGTCTGAGGTGCAAAACAACTGTACTGGAGAAAGAGCAGTGGTCCCCATATGAACAAGGTGGTGGAAATTTAAAACTTGATTAAGTTGGAGAGTTATATGGCAGCTTCAGGTTGCTAGGTGAACTCCAATGGGCAGGCAGTTTGAAACCTCTACAGCATCACAGTTGGTAATGTCTCCTTGTCCAAATCATGTTTCACCATCAGACTTAAACTCTGAAGTGTGGGATAAGAATAGCAGCAAAGTCACTTTGTGAAGGGGATGTGCCTGGACAGAGGAAACATGTGGCCACAGGTGCATACATGAGTGTGGGGGATTTAGTCTGGGGTCCAGGACAGGCTCTATCTCTCTCTCTTGCAGCTGGACGGGTCACAGGGAACAGCCTGGGAGGATCCTTGGGGATGGAACCTGTGGTGATTACCCAAATGGCCACGGATGTGTAGTTAGATCTCTCACTACAGAACTGTTACTAATATTAGGACAAAGTCAAAAGTATTCATCATGGTGACTGAGATCTATTGTCCTCTGGTCCTATTCCCATATCTGACTATTACTGTTCCTACACATGGTACAAACTGGCCCAGATAGAGTCATAGAAATTTTCCCTTGTGTAAGATACAGTTACTAACCCACGGAATTCAGTCTTATTATGGAGATGCATGTTTTGGAAATGCAATTACTCAAGCAATAATTGAGTGATGGCTGTGGTGTGTGCTGAGGTGAAGTGCTTATGGCATTGTGAATGTGTTTGGAGGATCTTCCTGAGTCTGATATAGATGGGTACAGGTAGGCCAGACTTTTCCAGGTAAGAAATATAGAGATCAGGCAGTGCTCTTGGTAGAGGGACCATGTTTGCCATCAAAATGGGAAACAACAACAACAACAGCTACAAAACTTCTCTTGGGTGGAAAGCAGCTTGAATCTGGGAAATGCCATGGAATACTGGTATTAGAGGCAAAAGGAAGAGGAGAGGATATGGAAAAGGTAGGCAGTTCGCTTGAATCTGGGAAATGCCATGGAATACTGGTATTAGAGGCAAAAGGAATCTAGAGGAGAGGATATGGAAAAGGTAGGCAGTTTGTAGAGCACTGATTTTATAATATAACCTAAAATCAATTGCTAAAGTATTTCTGAAGAGAATAATGAAGACAGGCTGGGCTTCATAATCATTTCCATTATTCTTACTTGAAGAGAACTGTTTTTTAGAATCAGAGTGAGAATAATAGGGATGGAGCAAAGGTTACTTCATGTTTAAAAGGAGGTGATGACAGGGGTGATGAAAGACACTAGGTGTTCAGTCTATGTATGTGCCTCAAAAAAATTCGAGGGTGACATGTGGTCACAGGGTGTGGAAAGATTACTCATAAGGGACACGACTAGCGACATAAGGAATGTTCAGATGCTCTTTAACAACTTAGTTAGAACAAAAGAAGAAGGATGTGATCATTAACCTTCTGGCAGCAGCGGCCATGCTTCATAAGAGGGTGTCTCTGGCTTGGGTTTCCTGTGTCATTACATCCTCTGGGAACTTTATGGTCCCAGTTCCCAGGACTGGCACTTAAGAATCAAAATTGAAAAGATGTCACCTGCAACATCTTCCAGGTCCCTGGCAGGTAGTGAATTTTTACTTCAGTGCTACTGTGTATTCCTCCGTGGTCCTTCAATAAGAGAACAGATGTATCTAAACAGAATTGACTCTACTAATATTTTATTAAAATTATGTCCCGGAAAGAAAGAATATATTTGTGCTCTAACAAAACATGTGTTTGGGTGGAGCAACAGAAACTATTGCCTTAAGTTTCTCTTGTGTTGTTGTTTTTCTTTCTAGTTTGTTTGTTTGTCACCTTACAAAAGCAT